GGGAGAAATCCTCCCAACCCGCCGGGGAAGGGCATCTCTACCTCAGCTCCTCTCTTCAAGTTCGGTTTGGGGAGGAACGGCAGGTAACTGTGGCCGTGTTCAGCTCGGACGGGCTTGTCCTGAACCAGTGTGCAACAAAGAGCAAGGCTAGCTGTTTCACCAGCTGGGCTACCTTAAATAAATTAAAAAGTCACAGTGCTGCCAACATACTTTAAAATCCATCTGGGTACAAACAGCTCTAATTTTGGAGGATGCCAGTAAATAGGAGAATTGCCCTATACTTCTATTTTTCTGTGCAACTTCAAAGGGATAGAAATAGTTTGACTCTGTAGAAGTGTAAGCATACATTCTACTGTTGAAAATATCCTGTATAGCAGGGTTAGCAGATTATGAGAGTTGTGAAGTATACAAATAAAAGTCTGTTTTGTATAAATTCCAGTTGTGTAAAATCAGGTCCAGGTCCAAGAGGCAAACCACAGCTTGTTTCTCTTACGTGGTATCAGAAAAAAAGATAATAATTTTTTTCAAGCTAAATTGTGTCTCCATCATCAGATATGTAATTCCACAGTCTTTAAGTTTTATAGCTTGAAGCTGTCTTTCTTCCAGACGAGCTCAGTGAAGTCTGAGAGGGGAAAGATTTTAAAATAAACACCAAGTTTTTCATATATCCCATCTGAAATGAGCTTATGAGGAACATGTATGCATCATTCATCCCATGTACTGGCTAGAATTAATAACATATCCGTTATTTCTGATATGTTATCGGTACACAGCTGTTTACCTATATTGCATTTGGATGAAATAATGTACAGAAACAGGTTTACTTGCATGAGAACATGATGTGAATTTTAAGTCTCAGATGATCACGGGAATTTCTTCTCCAAGTTCCTCAGTTTCCCCAGGCAACACTGTCCTTTGTGCATACAACTGATCTGTGTCTTCATTTGCCCTGGTTTCATTTTACCACGTTTCTCTCGCTGCTCAGACTAAGGGAAGAAGGAAAGTCTATAAATCAATTATACTCTCACTAGCCTCGTTCTTGCTCTTTCTTTCTTGTTTCTTGAAGTAGTTGCTCATCCTCTGACTCCCTTACTTCTCCAGTTTTAGCAGCTCCAGATTTCCTCATTACCCTTGTATTAATTTTCTTTAAAAATAACATCCAATTTAATATTTGTTTTAAATGAAGATGAGATATGAAAATCACTATCGATTGCATAAATAAGCATTTATACTACAGTATTAAAAATACAGCTCTTCAGCAACACTAACCTTGCATAGATTTACATATATCTCCTAGCTTCTCGGGACAAAGAACCTGTAATTTGGCACAGAGTAGCTCCCTTATTGTGGAGTGACATTTATAATGACTATACCAGGTAAATAACTCAGGGATCCAAAACCAAAATTTAACCCTCAAGGTCATTATTTGGATTAATATAAGAAAAATCCCTGAGGGAGTTTAGAAACTATGAAGTAAGGAAGTGGATTATACTAATCTGTGAAATCAGTGGTCCTTTTGTGGTCTGACTGTTAGAATGCAGATAGTATTTTCCATTCAGTTGTTACTCTTCATGTTATCTAAATTAAGTCATTAATGTTTTGGCAATGTATGTATGTTCATTACACATTTTATACAAGATGCTGTTATATCAACTGTGGAGCAACAATTATTTCCAAAAACTTAACCATACCAAACAGCTTTTGCACAGCTCTGATGTACAATTTATATATAAATAGGTATGTATACTAAACCCATTTGTTGTCCAGGCTTAGTGCCTCTATTTTAATTGCTTATGCCCTCAAATCTATTTTTTTCTCAGATTCACAATGATATACTTTCTGCTCTGTCATAGTCTGCTGCTCCACGTGGAGATCACAATTCTCAGTGAAGACTATTGACTCATAGAGCTAGGTGAGAGGGTTCAGCACAGTCCCCGCATACCAAAACCCCAGCTTCACTGGCCTCCCGCAGAACCCTAGCAAGCTTACTCAGGATTATTTCTCCACTCGTAGTCCAATGGCTGTAGCCCTGAACAGGCAACGTGACTTTTAATACCCGTCTGGAAGCAGCCGAGCTCTGCTCCTGCAGTGCTGGACCCAAGCTGCTATGTCCTCCTCCCAGGCAAAAACGCAAAAGCCTCAGGAGAGTGCACAAGTGCAGCTCTTCTGCCTCCAGGTTTGAGCTGGCTTGTGCCCAGGCAGTGCTGGGAGGAAATATGGGTGCAGCTGTACATATCTAATTACGTACTGTTCAGTACTCTGCTGCTGCTTAAGCCTGGAGACACGTACATTTCCGTCAATAAAATTTGCAAGGCATCAAAATATGTTCTTCTAGTGAGGCCCAGAACTCAGTGCTGACCAGCTAAGAGCCTAGATCACATCTGATGGGATCCATGTGGTGGATAGGTCTCCCTTTTATAAGCCAACCTCAAGTGAGAGCCCAAAGTAAGACCCACCCAGAGATTATCATGGTGCTACTTTCCTTCCTCTCCTCCTGCTTGTATTGCAGTATCTTTATAGTGGAAGCACTCGCGAAAAACGTGGCGGGGCCTAAATTAAAATCTGTCTATATCCGTTCTGATAGCCTTGGCCCAGAACCTGAGTGCTATGCAAAGGTCATAACCCATAAAATCATGATTTTCAATGTTTAATTGTTTTATATATAACACAGCAGCTCTAAGAAGATGGACGCTGCTGCCTCAGGAGAGGTTGCAGTGTGCTGGCCAGGTCACTTTCCTGACCACTGAGGTGAGTTAGTTCAAATTCTTGCCCTGAATCAGAGATGACATTTCATTTTTGGTGCTCTACTGCCTGCTTGCAAATTCTTCAATGAGGGTTGCTGCTGGTGTTCTTCAACTTTGTATAAAACCTATACCTATTCAAAAGGAGAAGAATATAATACTTGTTAAAAAAATAATTAAAGCGTTAATGGGTGAATGGGTTTCTTGGATTCTGGTTCCTATTTCAGGTAAGGCTGAGGCTCCTCTGCAGACTCCTTAGTCCAGTCGTTAGACCCTGCTTATAGGTTCACTTTCCCTTAGGGGGAACTGGTGACGAACCCTGAGTTTCCACATCCTTCTCACAGCTGCGATTTGGGGCAACTCTGAGGGGCGCTCCTACCTCATTGCTTTCGGTGTGAAAACACCTAATTTTCCAACACCACAAAGGGGTACTAAAGCGCGTAGCTGTGTCCATGCAGGAGCCAAGTCCCAAGGAGCGGCTAAGCCGTACGACAGGCTGTGCGTGCTGGCCCTTCCACGTCCCATCTTCAGGTGCCCACGGGAAAACCCACAGCCTGCAGTGGGACCTGCGTGGAGGCTGGTGACCCTAAAGCAGGCACTGACCCAGGCACCACCTCCCCACAGCACAGAGGAAAGCAACGCGATAAATTAGCGCACCAACTTCAGCTCAACAGGATGGCTGCAGAGAAAGCTCAGGAAGCAGTAAAATAAATATACCATGAAATAGACTGAAAGATAATTTGTAATTAATCACTTCTATACAGGATGACGTAAAGCAGATTTAAAATTACGGCGAATTAGCCCGGCAATTGTAGATTTAGCACACGCTGTCATGGTTATTTCAAAACTGTCTATATACCACACTCTAACAGGCTTAAAAGGGTTGAAACAGAACTTTTAAACCATTTGCTTTTTAAATAAAGGAGGCTATTTGTGGCAATAATACTTCTGATGAAGGGTTCAGAGTCAACTGTAACCGATACATATGATTGATGTCAATATTAACTGCACACTTCTGTAATCCTTCCTCGCCCATAACAGTTTTGAGCTTACATTTTGGATATTATTAATACTCAGACAAAAATAACTTGTGGACAATATCATGTTCTGAACATGGTTGAGAATTAATCTGTTTTTGTAAAACTGCTTAAGAATGATGGATACTTTTTCCTGCTTGAGTAAACACTAGTTAATTCTCTAGACTTCCCTTCTATGTTCATGAAAATCCAAGTCCAAGTGATTTTGTGGATATTTAAAGGATGGTGCCATATACTGCACAGACAAAGATTAATTTCTCCACTTGATAAAGATCTGATACCATTCATTACATTACTAACACTTCAGTACTGGAGTTTTGTTAGTTTTTAGTTTGTGAGAGAGAACACAATGAATTTAGGAACAATGAAAAATGGAGAGAAAAAAGTGAGGCAGCTGAAACATAGCTGTGGAAAGAGACTCCAAGTGAATGTATCACACATTTTCATTCTAGATAAGCAACAGGGCAGCTTGGAATAAACATGGATTGAAATTTTCTTCATTTCTTTAATGAGTTCAAAGAAGCTAAACAAAGACACAGAAGAGTTGAACATTGCTGTGTACAACACAGTAAACAGATTAAAATTTTATACCTGAGCAAAAAAGGAATTGAACTATTAACTACAGCATGCAGAGTAGCTGATAAGTTATCACATAAACCTAGCATACTGTTATAAGGTTACACTCATTCAGATGTTCTTAATTTTTACAAAGGCTAAAGATGGAAAAAGCTCCAAGACGATATGAGCGTGTGACATAAAACCACAATAAGGAAAAGCACATTACCATCTAGCAGCTTCTTCCAGAGGATCAAAATTATCTGCTGTTTTATTATCCAGGGAGAAAGCAGCAACAATTCAAAGCCTGTGGAGTTAATAACATGTTAGACATTTAAGCAGTTTATGAAGTGCTCACAGAAGACCTGAGCCTGCATCCCCGGCCCTCAAATGCCACTTTAAAGCACTGCGTTTGTGAGCTGTTCCCAGCACAGAATGAAAGGTAGGGATCTGCAGGGAATGACTGATCAGGTCACAGGCTCGTGATTTTCTCACCAGTATAACCACAGCCAATTCCTAAGGAATGACTTTTTACCTCATTTGATTGACCAAAAGCCACATTTCATTTTATGTAGAAACTTCTTCACCAGAACCTGTCTTTACATTGAATCTGTTGTTTGGGTGGGGTTTTTTTTGTTGCTTTTTTTTTTTTTTTTTCTTTTTTCCTCCTAATCCATTTCAAACACTGTGGTTTGAAGTACTTCAGTACAAGTCAAAAAACAGTAACATACTTCTCCTCTTAATTCCCTTATATTTGCAAAAGATGCCCGTGGGAAAGAAGGGGTCTGAAAAGTTTGAACTTTAACCAGCACAGCCCGTTCCCCCAGCCAGGCTTCATTCTCCTGGCAGACTTCTGCTCTTCCTGATCTCCATATCCAATATAAAAATTACCTGCTCCCACCATCAATATTCCTGTGCTACAAATCAGCCATTTGCCGTCCTACAGCAAAACCAGCAAACTCTGCCTTTGTCATTTAGACTTGTCAAAAAGAGATGGTAGGGATGGGAGCGTCTCTTACACTTAGAGACAGCCATAAACAAAGTCTCTCCCTTTCATTTCCTTGCAATAGTTACATATTCTTGATGCCAATCAACTCCACCCAAATCCTACCACCCACCTTGACTTTCCTGCTACTTTTCTTTCACCATTTATGAATAAAACTATGCATTAAAAATGCACATGTCAACATGGATTTATCCCTTTGTCCACAACATACTAATTTCTTCTTTAAATTCAGACATCTTAGACATTGGTAGGTTGTGTGAAAGAGTCTCCAGGGAATTGAATCCTCTTTGCTTCTAGTTTCTTCCTGGCTTTGAAAGCTGCTGATACTTCAGGGTGGATGGAGTCCAGCCGCTGCTCACACTGGAAGGCCGTGAGGAAGGCCGTCCTGTAGTTGTTATTCATCCAGCCATAGAGAAGGGGGTTGGCAAATGTTGAGCACATGGCAATGACGTGAAACACTGTGTAGATCAGTTTGTACTCTTTCAGGTCTAACACCTGACTGTCAATGTCACTGACTAGCTGGAAGGTGTGAAATGGCAGCCAGCTGACAGCGAACACCACAACCACACACACCAGCATCTTGGTGGTTTTCTGCCGCCGGTGGTGGTAGTGGTCATTCCCTGCCCCAGGACTAACATGGTTCTTGAGCTTGGTCCAAATACGGGTGTAGGCATAGGAGATGACTGCCAGAGGCAGCACGTACTGGATCAGGAGCATGGAGATGCTGTAGATGGTACCGTAGTTGAGCTGCCCCTCCCCTGGCCACTTCTCAGAGCAGACCACAATCTTGAAGTCAGGAATGATCTCAATCAGCGAGTACTCACGGAAGATGGCCAGAGGACTTGCCAAAAGGGCACTGACTGCCCAGGCAACTCCTATAATCAGGAAGCTGATCCGCTTCGAGATTTTGCTTTCCAAGTGGTAGACGATGCAGCGATGCCGATCCAAAGCGATCACTGTCAAAGTAACAGTAGATACGTGCACAGCAAGAGCCTGGGCGTAAGGCACCAGGTGGCACAAGACCGGCCCCAGTTTCCATTCGCCCAACAGCGTGTAAACCAAAGTGAAGGGCAGGCACAATGTATTCACCAGCAGGTCAGCCACAGCCAGGTTGGCAATGAAGAAGTTCGTCACCGTGCGCATGCTTTTGAACTTGATGATCACGTGGATCACGAGGGAGTTTCCGACCACCCCCAGAAGGATGATGGAGCAGTAAGCAAAGATGAGGATTATCTGCACTTCAACTAGCGTGGTGCTGTCCTTCAGTTCTGGTTTAGGGTCCAGAGCCAATTCGTTGAGCGGTGTGGTGTATCTCGGCAAGTGTAGCTTGGTGAACTGCTCCATTTTCATTTCATCTGTCTGGTTTTCTTCACCTACTGCTTCCAGGGGCCCCATCCTTGCAGCAGCCTGGTCTAAGCAACAGAGCTGTCTCTGAAAACAAACCACAACAAGAACATATGGAGAAATCAGTCCGTGGTGGCTAAGACAAAAAGTAATGAGCTAAAGTTACAGCTCTGTCCTCCTCTAACCCACGTTCTATACTGTAGTATTAAGAGAAGATCTGTCTTAATATATTTAAATTCTGCTGCCCTTAACATTTGAAGTCCAATCCTGTAATATTATTCAGGCATGACTCCTGCTGAAAATTGGGACAGATTTCAAAAGCATTTCAAAGACAAAGTTTGCCTAAGTAAATGCAGAAGGATTAAGATCCTGCTGGGCAGCATATCCCTTTTTTACAATCCAATACCTAAACCTACTGCTGATTTAGCACAAAACTTCCTATTAATACCTATGGGAAGTCGACATGGAACGGCACCATCCAGACTGTTATTAGCATAATAATCTTCCAGCTTTTCCTTAATAGAAAGTGTTTCCTTTAAATGGTTACAAAATTCTTACAGGTTTATGCCCCTCCTTAATACCAGATAACTAATTACTGAGGTCTTTCTTTAAGGAACTTCCTTTTGGGAAAGTTTGTGAGATAAGGCAAGCAAAAATGCCACTCTAATAGAACTGAAATAATAGCATTTCTCTGAAATGACTGTGTAACCTATTCATGCTGAAATTAACTCAAGAAACAATTAAAACTCAGTTGTACATAGCATTTCCTTTCTGTGTAATGTTGGAGAAAACACAGCTCCTTGGAGGCTGCCAATCAGGGATTCACTTCTGACTGCAGTCACAGAGAAAAGCAGATCATTCCTCTGCTGATGTCAGTAAGACATTTTGTTGCCTTCCCTACACAGGCTGAGCCAAATTCTATGCTGCCCTAAGACCTCCTTAGGCATGGATGGATATATGGATATTTTCCAGTTAACTGCTGACTTGGGACTACATAAAACGTGCATGTTCCCTTGCAGACCGCCCAGACTGTGGGTGCCATGCTAAGGAAGCACCATGCACCTGGTGACTCCTTGGCTCGACCTGGAAAAATACTAAGAAATTGCCAGTGCCCAGTGGGCTTACTGAGAAAACACCACTGTTTGCCACCGAGGGGAAAGCCAAACATGAGTTACTAACTCTACTTCCCCATTCATACATTCCCTAAGAAAAGCAAGAGTTGAGAAGAAATGTCACTTTCTTACCATCAGAGGTTAATCCATCTCAAATTCAGGTCTGCCTAAAGACAAAGTCTAGCCATTAATGCCTTTGGTTTCACGTGGGGTTTTTTAGATTTTTTTTTTTTTTAATCAGATCCACTTTATTGTGAGTTCTCATCCCTACCTCTGTCCCCATTAACTGTCTATCAGTGCCATCCTTAGGTGTGATTTCCTAACTGAGAAAGGACAGTTGTCTACCAGCAGGCAACTGAGCCCTTCGTGTTTGCTTGCATTCTAAACAATGTCTCAAAGAATTTCTCAGTGCAAGCTCTTTTTGCAAAAGCAATAGATCAACTGCAGGAACTGAAAGGTATTTTTCCCCTAATTAAACTGGTCAGAATTACATTACACTGTTTAATCTACATTTACTGTACAATTAATAGTGTAAACCTGAGATGTGCCAGTTGTTCATACAAACTTACCCTACAGATTTTATAGTAATATAAACCGTTATCAACTACTAGCCTAAGCACAGGTGGCAGGAAGGGATTCTTCATCAATACACCTTTAGTCCACAAGGTTAAAAATGTAGGAGACCCACCACAATTTTCACAGCCAAGGCTACGCAGAAGTTCAGAACTCTGCTGAGCTTCTTTCAACCCATGTACCCACACCCAAGAATTATGCTTGCATATATTATTAGAGATTTGCTGAGGTCCCAGGACTGTTAGGTGCTCCAAAATCTCACATTTTTTTCAGTGCAAAATAAGAGCAGATCATATTTACACAGTGTAGTAGGAGGGTGAGAGAGGAGGCAAATTTCACAGGTTTTTCCATCCCTTGCCATAAGTCCAGGCAGGAGGATGTAGCTCAGCCCAAGAATGTAGCATCCCTTTCTTCCCCAAAATATTTTCACCTGTTTCTCTAGTCCCTGACTTACTATCGATTTCTCCCTCCAACTCCTATTTTTTTGTAGCGAAGCTTTCTTTTGTTCTGACACTTGTATTTGTTACTGCCCTGTTTGGGCTGAGGAAAGGCATTCTGATCTTGTCAATAAGACAAAGCCGAGGGAGGGAGGAGAGACGACCAGTGTTTCAAGCAGAGACGAGCTGGAGCTGGCATGTCAGTGAGTGATGAAATAAATTGGACAAGTTTGACATTGTCGGTGGGACAGTTAAGCGGACAAAGAATCATCAGCTTTCAGACTATGGGGGGAAAACCGAGGTGGCATTTGATACCTCAGGTACTGTTTGACAGGACCCTTTCTGCTCTCTTTTGGTATAAATTCTCCAGCTGATAGCAATTTTTTGTGTGCACTTGCATACTGCACAGCACTGGGGGGTTTCCCCCATGTTTGTTTTTTTTTTTTTTTTTTTTTTTGTTTGTTTTGTGGTTTTTTTGGTTTTTTTTTTGTTTTTTTTTTTTTTTTGGTTTTGGTTTTTTTGTTTTTTTGTTTTGTTTTGTTTTGGTTTTTTGTTGTTTTTTTTTGTTGTTGTTGTTTTTGTTTTGTTTTTGTTTTTGTTTTTTTTTTTTCTCCAGCAGTCAGATCCTCCGGGGCAGGCACCAAATTGCATCTAACTTTCGGCAGAGAAAGGCCCGTGGAGGTTTCACCTCGGTTCCGAGAGCAAGTAAGCAAAAAGGGCGAAATACGTGATGACATTAGCAAGCAGCGTTCCCACCAGGACCGCAGTGCCCGCGCTGGGGAAGGCCAATTTGGGGCTGCTCGAGGCGAAGGTGGCGGCAGGCGTGCCTCTGGGGTGCCGCCGCTGCCCCCCCCACCGCCCCCCCCACCCCCTCCCAAACCCCCCCGCTCCCCAGGCACCCTTCCCCGGGCACCGCGAGGAGCCCGCCGCTGCCCCACGCCGGGCGCGTTCCTCCGTGCCCCGCTTCCCGCGTTCACCTCCCTCCGCGATCCGGGAAGGCGAGCGGGGCCACCGGCGGCTACAGCCCCAGGAGCCGGTCTCCCAGGGCGGGGCGGGGCGGGGCGGGGCGGGGAGCGGAGCCCCCCCCCCACGCCCCGCAGAGGAGCGGCTGCTCCCACGGCGCGGCGCGGGTCCCGCCGCCCTCCCCTCGCACACTCACCGGGGCAGCGCTGTCCTCCCGGGCGATGGGGCAGCGGCACAGCACGGCCCGTCGAAAGTTTGGAGGCGCCGGCGGCGGCGGCCCCCGCGTGCCGGGGGGGCGGGGGGGGCGGGAGGGGGCGGGGCGGGGCGGGAGGGGGCGGGGCTCGGGCGGGGCCGCAGCCGCGGGCCGGGAGGGGATCGGCGGGGGGGTGTGTGTGTGTGTGTGTGTGTGTGTGTGTGAGATCGGCGGGGGCGTGGGGCGAGCGTGGAAAAAAAAAGGGGTTTGGAGGAAGGGAGGTAGTAGGACGCGTCCGAGCTGGTGAACGCGCCCCACGCCTGAGCCTCCTCCCTGCTTTTCCCGGCCCTCCGGGCTGCCTCCCGCAGCAGCGGGGAGCGGGGGGATGCCTTTGCTCCAAACCACTGCCGAAAGCCGGGCTTGCAAGCACCCCAGCTTGCGCAGATTTGCTCTTCCTCGGAAGAAGAAGTGGATGTTGCCAGAGCGGGTGTAAAGATGAGTAAAGCATTTACATATTCTGTCAAGAGCGAAATAAAAGGTTGCATATTTATTTACAAGGCTGCAAAGGTAAAGGCAACAGCTGCTGCATTTGTTTAGTTCTATATTCAGTTACCTTTCAGAAAAAGCTCTCTCGCCAGCCAGCTTAACCGAGGACTAGCTGCAGCCAGCACTGCTGCCCTTCTGGTAGGGTCTAGTTTCATTAAATCCATCACTAGGTTCTACTTTGCTGCGTGCCTGATGCTTCTCCCGAAGCCACAACTTCTGAGGTTCAAGGGAGTGTCTTCTCACTGCACAGTTGGAGGGCTGGATTCGCCGAACAGTGCTCCAGCCCTAGTTGTTGCTCCCAAGAACAGGAACCAGCAGACTTTGCTTACTCTGTGGCTACAGCACTGATGCTTGGACAATTCTCATCCCAAACTCTGCAGAAACTGCTATTCAGAAACAGGAATGCTCCTTTACTTTCTGTCACTTAGGTAAATTTGCATTAATATTTCAGGTACTTTCAAGGATCAGCAACTTTATCTTCCCTCTTCTGTCCTTCTTTTCTTCCAAAGGAGACTTTGAACGAGAGCTCTTTCTTTTTTCAAAGGTAATGCTCCTTGCTTTGGTTATAGCTCAACATAAGCTCTTATCAGAGAGCAGAGGTGAGGATACTCAGAGGAGTATCAAAGAGTAACTTCAGCAATTTACAGTTGTCTTTGAAATTCAAAACATGTCTTGGGGATCCCCTTAGATCTTTGTTAATTCAGGCTATCTCTTCACTAAGGGCCTTGCTCTTAGTCCTTCAGCACTGCTGGCTGATAATGGAATGCTCCTAGCTTGTTGCAAAATAGATTTCTTTGAGAACTAAATAAAAAGCCAGGAGTTTCAATTCTTCTACCCCTGTTTATTTCACTTCCCCAGTCAATGTAATTGTAGGATTTATCTTCTGCTCTACCAGCAGACGTAGATGCATGCCATGAGTTTTAGTAATTAGAGCACTTGCATAATATATGGCTATAACAGCCTTCAGTTCTTCCCTTTCCTTCTCTTACAAATAGTCAGCAGTGGCGTTTCACTTGTCTCAGGGGTGTAGCTATCGTGCTCTACTCCACACACGCTAACAACGTATATTTTTGATGCTCCTAATGTCTTGGAGAGTGTAGTGAAATGTTACAAATCTTTACAAATCTGTCTACTTCAGGATCCCATTGCTAGGGAAAATCTGTTCCTTACTTTCACTTGCAAACTCATAGAGAAATTCAAGAAGATGTACAAGTTCCTAGGAGCTGTTAAACCAGCAAGGGCTGGCTTTTCATGCAAGGAGGAGAAGGTGTTATTTCCTGTTACAAGGGGGATTCTGTGTTCAGGCTCAGCTGAAATGCTTCATGGAAATGCATTTCCAATAAACAACGGCAGTTTTTATTGCTCATAAAAGGGTGGCAGTGAAGGGCCCCATAAATGCCACTTTATGCCGAAAGCCCATGAAAACACTGACACGAAGGGCAGAAAGAGTCAAGTAGCAAATGGGCTGTTCAGTTTGAAATGTGTTGCTTGGTGACCGCCTCCAAAGTGACTGTGGATACTTTTCTTTCTGCTCACTTAAATTTCCATCCCATAAACCAATGCAAGCCATGGGTCATTGAATCACAGAACTGTATAGGTTGGATGGAACCTCCGGAGGTCTTGTTGTCCAACCTCACGCAGAAAGCAGGTCTAGATGCAGCAGGTTACCCCAGGCTATGTCCAGGAGAGTTTTGAGTATCTCCAGAATGAGAGACACCGCTGTCACTGGGCAGCCCATCCCAGGATTTGACAACTCTCAGAGTAAGACAAAATTTCTGTGTACCAAGTCAGATTTTTCCATGTTCCAGCTTGTACCAAGTGCCTCTTGCCCTAGCCCCATGCTTCTTCTCATAGCTGTGGACAGTACTTAGATTCCTCTTTAGCCTTGGCTTCTTCAAGGCTGAACAAACTCAGTTCCCTCAGCTCCACTGTGTGGTCCAGCCCTGATCATCTTGGTGGCCCTTTGTTGGACTTACTCCAGTCTGTCATGTCTTTCTGGCACTGGGAGCCCCAAACTGGACCCAGTACTCCAGATGTGGTCTCACAGCTGGTGACTAGAGGGGAACAGTCACTTCTCAACCTGCTGGCTACGCTCTTGCTATGTCTTGATACAGACTGTAAGTTAGACTGTGTAAGTTGACTTGCACTAAATAAATGAGCTATGTGAACTTTAAATCCCAGCTTCCTATTAAAGGCAAGCCTATAAATGAGCTTTTGCTGTGAATATGTATATGTACTAAGGTGAAATACAGACAGTCTAGCTTAACAACTTGACAAGAATTTCTGTTGGACATATGTTGTTTCTGCTGTAAATCACACTTGTGGAGGTATGGCAGGGTGTAAGAAATTTGATATACGTAGCTTACCTCCAGTAGTATCTATTTAGCTCTTTTTACTGTTAGAAAATAGTTTTGTCAAATTCTGTCCAATGTAGGTTTTTTTCAGAGGGAAGAATAAGCATTTCTGCCAGCTCCTCAGACATTTACCTATTCTCAGGAGCAAAAGAAAGTTCTGCACATAGTACTCAGACTTGAAGCAGTAATGACTTGTGTTTCAATCTTAGAACTAGGAAGGAGTTGCAAGTCTTTGTACATAAATTGTCCAACATCAGATTTACCAGAGTGGCAAATAAGTCTTAATGAATATCAGCAAGGCAGAAGAGGCATCAGCTCTCCCATCCCCTGTCCCCAGACAACGTTATCCTTATTTGATTTACTGGAAAGTGTGAATTTAAAAGAAAACACTGCCCCTAGAGCACTGACCTTTAAAAGCAGTGTGCATGCCACTCACTTGAGCCAAACTCTACCAGTCCTTAATCATGCAGATTCTCTTGGCGTGAGTCAGGTTTTAGGGAAGGGAGCACTCTACATAGCACGGACAGTCCTTAAAATAAAAATGAAATGGAAAGAAAGATAATAATACCCAAAAACATGACCCTGAGAGAGAATATTTTTCTTGAAGCTTTTACATGGTGCCAACACGGAGATCATATAATACAAAATTATACAGGACCAAGATTTTTGTTGCTTAACAGCTCAGAACAAAGGTGTTTAAGTAGCTAAAGAATGAACTTTCTGCTTAACATTTGCAAACGTTTTGGAATACATTTATAAACTGTCATTTGTTCTCATTCTCTTTTGGTTTGGATTCAGTCTCACGGGTTAAATTCTACCTATCTCTCTTTTTCAAATGCAGTAATAAGAAATAGCTGTATTCATAAACAAGTATAATCAATCTCCCTTAGATGACTAAGGGGATAAATACACACCAGGGGGGAATGTGAGAAATGGGTAGATAGGGATAAGTAGCAACTTATAGTAGTACTTCACAGCCAGTGCTGGTTAAACAATCAGTTTAGTGCGTCTAGTTCAAAAACTAATACCACCAAAGGCTCAATTCAATTGCCTGTTTGCTCACAGACTGCGGCGGAGTTTGGCACTGTTTCCGTGTAAGACAAGGCTGCAGAGCTGAGCTCTGTGTTTCATACATGGTCTTCTCAAAGCAGCCAGCACATTGCTATAAACTCGTGTCATTCAAAGAAAGTTAAAATTGTGAAGACAGGTAGCTCACTTAAGAAATTGCATGTTTAAAGTTGCCCATTTAACACCAACACGGCTGCTTGTGTTTACATAACTATGATACAGTCTTTTAAATAACTAGTGACATTATTTTTATTTAAGGTCACTGCTTCATTCAGTGTCCCAAATTGGCAATGTTTACGCAGTGAGTAAATTCTTGGTATTTCCTTCTATTCTCAGTATGTATTTTACCATCTCCGTTACTCTCTTGGCCAACATGCTATCCTTTCTCTGCATAGGATATAGAAACTGTAATTTCTTCTCAGGAATTTCCATGGCCTTTTCATCACTGGAACTCGACCAGGACTACTCAACCTTTACTAAGATCTACTTTCTGTCATCTGGAATTCAAAGATGCTGACCAAACATTTAATTGAATTTAAAAATACAAGGAATATATAATTTTACTGTATTTTTCACTGTGCACATTCTAGACAGTTTTTTCTTCAAACTCATGAAATCCTATTTTTCCTTAATTCCATTTCTTTTTAAACACAGAGTTTTCTGTAAACTCCAAAATGTAATGTGGAAAGTGACACTTCATTAAGGTATTGAAAGTTTGGTATACAACCGGTTGTTGCCATTTCTAAAGAGTTTTTAGATGTTCCCAAGGCAAGCATACTCTGTTTATTTTTAGAGCATTCATCATAGAAAATAGACTCACGTATAGCTTAGAGCTTGAATATTGTACACACTTCACTCCTCAGTTTCTGGTAGCTGAGAAAGCAATATATCTGTAAATGGTTTCCAAAAGCAAGTCAACTATATCTATCTGCTGCATGCTTGCTTGTACATCAGTTATTTCTAATTCTGGAAATCCTCAGCTGTTACAAGCAGCAATACCACTCACCTTTTACTTTGCCTAAAAATGATTGTAATCATTTTGAAAAGTTACATATGTTCATAAAACTTAATTGAATGGTCTTCAAGCTCAAGTTTTCAATGTACTGATTAGAGCTGTGGCAGTGT